AAACAAGAGAAATTCATACAAAATTGAAAATGGCTGACCTCCGGTTGGGTTTAGAGCTTAGACCCCGGAGACTTTTTTTTAAGTCTACATGTGATACATCTGCTTACTAAATGTTATACATGTAGGTGAAATATACTGCGAGGACTGCATCGTCAAAATATTGTAGGGGGCGCTATCGAGCCGACTTGCCGCTCTGAAGCATCAGATAACTATATTCAGGATTTTAAATGTGTGTGACACGACGAAACATCAAAAGCTTCATGAACTGGCATTATGAACTTCTTACATTTGTGTGGAACTAATTTGATGTTGATCTGATTTACCTACAAAGAGAAACAAGCCAAAGTATAAAGACTTTAACTTCCTGTTACCAGTAGGTGGCGCTATGACTATGATTCAAAATTGGCCTGCAGATGTCTTCAGGCCTGCAGTCAAATCAAACATGTGAAATCTGGTAAAGATCTCATGATGTGGAGTCGAGTTACATCAGTTTATTTGTTCATGGCGAAGGATCGAAATTCGCCAAGCCGCCACGTCGCCGCCCTTCAACAACTTCTTACAATCTTCACAATGAAGCATTATCAAGGTCTTAGGACTTTTCTGACAACATTTAAGAGGGATCTGATTAATCTGTGAGGAGCAGGATGTCAAAGTACACAATTTACAACTTACGGTTGCCACTAGGTGGCACTATTACTATGATTCTAAATTGTCATATAGATGTGTTCCGGGTCAGGATGTTATGACATATGAGAAATTTGGAGCAGATTAGACAATGTATGGCCGAGTTACAACAACTTCCTGTTTCATGGCGAATGGTGTTTCTTTGCCGCCACGGATACATAGTACGATAACTTTTTGATCTTTGAGTAACTTTTCACTAACAAGGTCTCAAGAGCATACTGACCAAATCTGAAGTCAATCGGGTTAAATCTCTGGGAGGAGTTCGTTAAAGTATGACGCCTTGAAATGGTCAAAAAACGTCATAAAATTCGAAATGGCCGACTTCCTGTTTTGTTTAGTGAAAAATTCCAAGAGGATTTTTTTGTACGTCCAGTGTTTCCCCTACCATTGTATTAGGGGGGGCGCCCCGCACCCCCAACGGCACCCTCCGCCCCCCCCTTGAAGGTGGAGTTAATTTTGTTTTCTATATAGCGCCAGATCACAACAGAAGTAATTTAAGGTTCCCTTTCCTATAGAACAGGTCTACCCCATGTTCTTTTATTAAACAAACTAAACAGCCTTATGTTATTGATCTTATTGACATGACGGCATGTCATATCTGTCTCTACATGGTCGCGAGCGTGTACAATTCTCCTCTACTCTCTGTATCGCGCAAGGCGGAGTTCCACCCCGATGCGCGCACACACACACACACACACAGACACGTGCGCGCACACACTCAGGTGAGCACACTCCCACCAGCGGACAGAGAGCGCGCGTCGGAAACTATGTCCGCCAACCACCTGAAAAGCAGACAACAATATCTGCGTTTTTTAAACGCTCCCATGTGGTGAAGATACAACACTCGCTCTCCTGCGAGTAGCAGCCAGAGTAGCTCTCCTGCTCCGGGTCCAAGTACAGACAAGAACCCCCCACACACACACACACACACACACACACACAAGCAGCTACAGTCCCGTCACCACCGGATATCAGGTTTTGACCCAGCTTGGCTGTCAGAGGGGAAATACTCCCCCTGGCTGTACAAGACTGATCTTGGTAAGTAAGTAAGTAAATACGTACATAAATAAATAAATAGACGGATTAGATAGATAGATAGATACAGAGAATGAATAGGGCATTATTTCAGTTTTCTTTTTGGTTTTAGGAATGTTCTGTTGAATATGAAGAAAGCATAAACAGGCCATTTATAGAGTCTACTTGCCAGTCAACACCATGATTCCTTTAAGTGTTTGTCCGTGTCCCCCCCCTCCCCAAGCTGTAAACCTAGGGGAAACACTGACGTCCCATCACGTTCCACATACCTACCACATTTTATACAGCTAGGTGAAACCCAATGTTGGTGCTACTCAATAGGGGACGCTATCGAGCCAATATTTCATACCGCAGCTGGACACTCCAATCAGACTGCAATTTTCGCAAATTCTGGCTTGCGTGCAAAATTTCGAAAACTTTCCAGTATCCCAAGCACCTCCTTTTTGCGACGAAACAGGTACGATAATAATAATAATTAAAGCTGCAAGCAGCGATGAACGAGCCCTTGCACCTTCCCGCGTGTAGCCTCCAAACCTTTAGCAGAATGTAAACCTTAAGTTGACGCGTGTTTCTGGTCCTATGCACATAGCTCACACCGACACCGCTCGTAGGTGAAAGCAATACGTGTTTTTATTGATCCAATTTCCTTGGTACAAGTCAGTGAAACGACTTCCTTTATTCCTAAAAGTACCCCAATTACCTCGACACACTTTAAGGATCCACAGGTTAATCCACAAATTGTTCCACAACTTACTCCACATAGCACATTTTATATGACATGATCGGAAAACTGTGAGGCTCCCTTCTGCTCCAGATATTACTAACAACCGTTACTAACTGTCGCAAAGTGTCCTTAAAGTGACGAAAGTCTGTCACTTACGTGTATTTCTTACCATAACAAATGAGAACAACAGCCTTGTAAAATTCAAAGTAGAAACAGATGTGATTAAAGTTAAACATGTAAATACAAGTAAATTTTTAACAGCACATTGAATTTGGCTCTTACACACCGGCCCCTAATTGTACTCAAGATTTAACATTTGAAACAATTACCTAACTTAAAATAAGAGAGCCATGTACTGTAAAGGAACATTCTCACAAAATAACGTTATAAGAGCCGAAGGCAGCTAACAGACTCCTCATGGTTGCTCAGTCTTTAGCACTGTTCGTCTTCCAAAAGTAGACACAGCTTTATAATGGGCCTGTGTAAAACACTAGTCTTTGTCTTTATGTAGACCTGACGAACAAGTCCTCTGTGGTCTGGAAGTGCCTTAATGACCTTCCCCATGACCCAAGAGTTTCTTGGAGCAGAGTCATCCACTAGAAGAATGATGTCTCCCAGAGTGAAGTTTCTCAATGCTCTTGACCATCTTTGCCGTTCCTGGAGCTGTGGCAAGTATTCCCTGGTCCAACATACAGAATTGGATACCTCCAACTGTAGCTCTTTTCTCAGCAGCTTGTCCATTTTGACAGCGACTGTTGCTGCCGTCAGCTCCATCCGTGGGATGGTAGGTTGCTTTAAAGGCGCCACTCTGGCCTTCCCCATCATGAATGTGCAGTGAAATTGATTTCTCTCGTTCCGCAACAGTAAGTAGCTAGCCGCGCCGTAAGCTTCCTCACTTGCATCTGCAAAGTGGTGCAATTGTGCGTATGTAAGATTTCCAAATCCTGGTGGCTTGATGCACCGGTTGACTTTGAAGTCCTTTAGATTGGGAAGTTTTGTCAACCAATCTGCCCTCTGTTGTTTGACCTTTTCTGGTAAGTCGTCATCCCAGCCCAGTTTCATCCGACTCAGTTCCTGAAGGATTTTCTTTGCTGGCAACACCACTGGTGCGAGAACTCCTAAGGGGTCATAGATTGAACTAACAACCGAAAGGAGACCTCTTCTGGTAAAAGGACAGCCTTTGACAGTAATTGAAATGTCCTTCTCGAGAAAGTCTTAAATCCGCCACTAAATCCGTTTCTCCTCCTCCTTCAGCCATTGAGTGACATATCTTTCAACTTGAACTCTTACTACTACTAAGTTCTGCTAGCTAGCTTGAGCTTCAGAACAGTCACGCTAGCCCACCAATCAAGCCACACATTAATGCTGATGTACTTATAGGCCAGCTAGAAGGCTCTGGCATGTCAAAGACTACGGCCAACATGTCAAACTAAAAATCGGATTAGTTGAAGGCTATGACCATCAACAATATTGTCCCCATTTACTTAAACTGCAAATAGATTCACTTTTTCAGGCCAACAGGCAGATTTGTTTTTACCTAGAGACATAGAGGCGAAATCTGATTGGATAAAAGCTCTACTTAAAACAAGCTGTGCTGGAAGCAGCGTTGGAAGCAGGGCAACTGAGGAAGACAGTAGCTATGCAATGAGATAATAAGCTAATGGAAAAAATATTTAGAATACATATAGTGTATAAAATATTAAATTATAAAATAGCTATAACTTTGTGATTCTGTCTTGGTCAGCAGAGAAGGCTTTGCTGGCCCTGACGGCCCACCACTGTTAGTTTTCCTGACTGAACTGATGCTAGAGCTTCATTTAAATCAGGACAGACAAGTAAATTGTTTGAGATAATTGTTTAACAGATGATGTGTGATGATAAAGTCTTTGACAAAGACTTTTTGGCGCTTAGACTTTAAAGGGAGATTTGTAATCAAAAGCCTAATATCACGACCAAAGGAAAGCTTACTGGCCAAGCAGGAATTTATTTATCGCTGTGCAGCTTGAAGCTCCGGATCCCAAATTTAATTAAGGAATTTGAAGAACCACATCGACCGCTACAAAGTCATCTCAGAGTAAGAGGCTGTGTCTGGGCAGACATAGCCTCTGGTCAGTTAAAAAGACCAGTGCCGCGGCTGCCAAATCTGAGTTCGCCAGTCGGGTTTCTGTACATTAACAGTTTCTGTATTTTACTGCGGCAGTGCGGATCTGCCTTGTTTTGAGTGTTACTGTTTTTTTCTCTCCTTTTTCTTTGCCTTATTGTTTAACTAACCCACAAACATACTCATACACACATACAGTATAGACCTGAGATGAGTTTATCTGCGGCCTCTATGCGGCCTCTATCCGCTGCCATTTTTGTAGTTTTGCGAAGCGTTATCACGTACGAGGATGCATCTGCCATTTTGGTAGTTTTCCCCTCCACCGTTTGGAAGTCTCGCGTGGCGTGATAACGTACAAGACTACATCCGCCATTTTGGTAGTTTTCACACTCACTCACCACAGATTGTTTGTTGATGTTAGATAGCAGGCTCGTAATTGTATTGTTGTTGTAGTTAGCTTTGGATATTATTTGACTTGATCAGTATTATTGGAATTTGGAACTCTGTTATACTTCAAAGAGCAGCTTTCTGTGATTACTTTGCATGTGTATGTGACCTGTGCTCGAATTCAGACCTTCCCTGTTCACACTGAATGTGGAATAGACTACTGACATTTTGAGTGAACACCAATTTTGAGACTTCATTTATAGTTTTGTTATTGCTCCCTGATCTCAGGGTGGTGCCCTGTTATTATTAATATTTGTTAATAATCTTAGATATCATTACTTTTATTAATGTCAATAATTTAGTTGTCATACTTGCTGATAACCAAACACACTCCTGTCAGATCCCAACAACGCTACACTAACGTTGCTCTGTGTCTGCTAGATAATGGGCAACTGTTTGCTCACACGTTAGCCTTATCAACTGAAAAGGTGATAATATGTCACTGTTGTTTCCACATTATTTCCACTGCACCCAAATGGCCACAAAACTGTATTTGCAGGTTTAAATACTCCATTAACAACTTCAAAATTGCACCAAATTCAAAAAAGCACTCCATGGTGTCTACAGCAATACACCCAGCAAGCGTTAAATAGATCAGATGGACAGTTCTCGAGATATGCAAAGGACACAGACAGACAGACAGAGATTCCTTGCTTTATAATTAGAGTATTCTTTATGTGACCTAATGTGTGAGCAAACCACAGTTGTCTTTGTTCTTAATGCAATTAACAAAGTCAGATCATTCCGTAGTGAATATTGAGCTGTTGATGCCTCCTCTGTTGCTGCACTGAACATCAGGATGTCGGCTATGCACTGGGAGGCCAGACGGCGTCAGAGTGCTCTGGACTGCAGGATAGCCAGAGACAAACAGCAGGTAAGTAACATATTGCACTAAAAATATTATTAAAATGTTTGCCATGTGGTGACTGTGGAATATAACTGTATGCACATCTACTCAGGTAATGTACTTTAAGGCCGGGTCAATTATTTAGATATCTTTTTAGGTTTTTATATCATTCTGTATCTTCAACTCCGATGTTTGTTTTAGCGGCAAAATTATATTTTCCCACGCGCGTCTAAAACCGTTTTCCCACGTGCCCTGACATACGTTTCTAAGTTTCTGAATGATGACATTGCAACATATATATACAAATATCCTTATCCACGGTCAGTGTATGTGCAATGTGCTGCTGTGGGCGGCACGTTGGGATCTATAAGTCACCCAATATCACAGACAAACCAACCAATTGCGACATTAGGAGACCTCTATCTACTGCAAAGTAAAATGACGGTTTTCGTGAATAGGTGGGCCTGTTTTTAAGAGGACAAAAATCTGTTTTGTTGTCAGACAGCGGAATGAGTAAGAAATAATGATTTGATCACAATTCATAAATTTAAAACATTAACCAGGCAGTCATTACCAAGCTGCAGTGTGGTGGTGCTGATCACATCATTATTATATAATATAGCGTTATATAGATATAATGTAGTGAAACAGGAATGTAAAACAACTCTTCTGTGGACGCGTACCAAAATGACATTCTCCTGTAAGACTTTCAGATAATGCAGAATCACCTTAGGCAAATGTTTGTATATAAGGTGATGTTTTTAACAGCCAAAGTATGTGAAGGGGTTATGTGGTCATCAATTTAGAGAGAGCAGTCATTTCAAAATGTTACAGCTTGTGATTGATCATTCATTAAACTTCTGCTGCTGCTGATCCAGCAATCTGTCTGGTTTATTTTATTATTGAACAGCAGCAGGGCTGATTGGAAACTGAGAAGGGACATGTGACACCCCAGCATGAGGTCAAAGCCGTTTCCTGTGTGTATCTGGCAGCTTGTATCCTGTTGCTGATTTACCCGAGGGGTTCAGACAGTTTATGTTACCCTGTTTTATTTAAGACCTGGGTTAAGTAGCATTAGACCATATATCTGCAGAAATTCATTTCAAAATCCTGTAAAATGTTACTTATAGGCACTTTGAAGGAAGACAAAAAATAAGATATCTATGTTTTTAATGAAATAATGTATCCAAAATTACTGATTTCATGAAATCTATTTTGTTCCATTAGAAGAAGTCAACAGGGAAAATCATTTTAAAAACCACTGCAAGGGGATGCTGCTATTACTGTGTCCGTCAATGGGAAACAGAGCTGCAGCTCAGATATCCGGAGTGGTGTGTTTATCTTAAGCACTAAACAACAAGAAGGGTTTTGACCAAAAGCAGCATTTTAACTTTTTATTTGCTTCGAAGAAATCGCCAAACGTCAACTTTAAATGTAATGAAGTACGTTGTACAAGAGATCTTCTTTTAAACAGAAAAGGAATCATTTGAAGTTTACTGTTTGAGAGATTATGGTTTTATTTTGCACTAGATGAAATTCACGAGTTGTTTTACAATATGCTTGATTCTGAATGGCTATATAGCTACTCATAGCTTAAAGGAATATGGTGCGTTCACACCGAACATGAAGCAGACTTTTTGCGTGGTGCGATTTCATACACATCATTTGCGTCATTCAGCCATTGAAAATATTTCAACAAAAGATAGTACCTCATATTTGTGCAGTTCTGGGAAATCTGAAAATCTATAATAATAATAATAATACATTTTATTTATATAGTGCTTTAAAAGGCACTCAAAGACACTTTACATGGTAAAAACAGAAACAATAAAAGCATTTATAATAAGAACAAAATCTACGACATAACAGTAAGAAAGAAAAATAAACACGAAGAGAAAAAAAAAGAAAACATACATGACTGACTTTAGAGGTTAAAAGCAGATTTGAATAGGTGAGTTTTAAGTGCAGTTTTGAAAGTGGCAAGTGACGGAGAATGTCGAATGAGGTGTTGGGGCAGGGAGTTCCAGAGGGAGGGGGCAGCAACGGAGAAGGCCCTGTCCCCCCAGTTCCGATGCTTGGACAGAGTAGGGGGATAAGGAGGTTGGCGTCAGCGGATCTGAGGTTGCGGTTGGGAGTGTGTTAATGCAGGAGGTCTGAAAGGTATGAAGGGGCGAGGTTGTGGAGGGCTTTGTAAGTGATGAGGAGAATCTTGAACTGGATTCTTTGCTGTATGGGGAGCCAGTGGAGGTTTTGAAGGACTGGGGTGATGTGGTCTCTGGTGCGGGAGTGGGAGAGCAGACCGCAGCTGAGTTCTGGATGTATTGTAGTTTATTGATGATTTTGGTGGGTGAGCCGTACAGGATGCTGTTGCAGTAATCCAGCCGAGAGGTGATGAAGGCGTGGATGAGTGTTTCAGCGGCTGTGGAGGAGAGGGAGGGGCGGAGACGGGCGATGTTTTTGAGATGAAAGAAGGCGGTTTTTGTGATGTGATTGAGGTGTCGTTCATAGGAGAGAGTTTGATCGAAAATGATCCCAAGGTTACGGACATGTGTGGAGGCAGGAACAGTGGTGCCATCGATGCAGAGGGAGAAGTTGTGGTGGGCTTTGTTTAGTGATTTGGGTTCGATGATGAGGATTTCAGATTTGTCGGTGTTGAGTTTGAGGAAGTTTGCTTGCATCCAGGTTTTTATATCTGTGAAGCAGTTGGCGGAGTGGGTGATGGGGTGATGGATTTGGTGGAGATGTAGAGCTGGGTGTCGTCGGCATAGCAGTGGAAGTGGAGACCATGGTGGCGTATGATGTCGCCAAGGGGGAGCAGATAGAGGATGAAGAGGAGGGGACCAAGTACTGAACCTTGTGGGACACCATGAGAGACTGGGGCTGTGTCAGACTTGAATTTGTTGATGCTGATGAACTGTTCACGGTCGGAGAGGTATGACTTGAACCAGGAGAGGGCTGTGCCAGTGATGTGGAGGGAGGACTCGAGACGGGAAAGGAGGATGGAGTGGTTGATGGTGTCAAAGGCTGCGCTGAGGTCGAGCAGTATTAGGATGTTGAGGGAGTGTTCATCAGAGGAGAGGAGGAGGTCGTTGGTGACTTTGATGGGTGTGACTGAAGCGAGTTTGAGGACGGGAGGGACGGAGCCAGTAGACAGGGAGGAGTTGATGACAGAGGAGGTGTGGGCGGAGGGCCGGGAGACAGGCCATAACTAAAGGGATAGGGTCGAGGTCACAGGTCGGAGTCTTCATGCCAGAGAGTGATTTATTGAGATCCGAGGGGGAGATGAGAGAGAATCGGGAGAGTGACCGGTCAGTTAGTGGAGGATTTTTCAGTGACACAGGCTGACAGGGATGAGGGGCAGACAGACTTGATATTACGGAGAGTGATGGTGCACGTGAGTTTGGGTTCTGGGATGGGGATGTCGATCTCCATGATGATGGCTAGATGGTCGGAGATGGTGAGGTCATAGCCGGAGAGGTGGTTGATGGTGATTTCAGTTGAGCAGACCAGGTCCAGGATGTGACCGCGGTTGTGAGTGGGGAAGTCGATGTGTTGAGTGAAGTTGAAGCATTTAAGCAGGTCCAGAAATTCTGTGGCAGTTTTACAGTCTGAGGAGTCGATGTGGATGTTGAAATCACCAAGCAACAGGATGGAAGGTGAGACGGAGCAGAGCTGGGTGTGGAATTCAGATAGGTCGGAGAGGAAGGCAGGGTTGGGTTTGGGGGGGCGGTAGATAATTGCAATGACCAGGGGTTTAGGACCAGAGAGTTTGAATGTGAGCTGTTCAAATGAGGGTGGACTTTCGATGTTAGTCAGGCTGGTTTTGATGTGTTGGCGGTGAAGTGCGGCAATTCCTCCACCGCGGCCATCAGGGCGTGGGTTATCCAGGTAATGATATCCAGTTGGGGTGGTTTGATTGAGTGCGTAGTAATCCAGGTGTTTTTGCCAAGTTTCAGTGAGACAGAGGATATCAAGGTCGTTGTCAGTGATGAATTCATTGATGATTGGGCTTTTGTTGCTTAGTGACCGGGTGTTGAACAGAGCAAGCTTCATGGAGTGTTTTGTGATTGGTTGTGAGGTTTTGGGGAGGGTTCTGAGGTTGGCTGCATTCACGTGCTGTTTGGTATGATGACATAATGAGGGAGTGGTTGTACGCAGGTGCTGAGTCCACAGAGACGGGATGGAATTGACAGAAGTGGGGTTGAAGATGATGAACTTGTGCTGGGAGCTGATATGAACATCACTGGGAGGGATGTAGCTGAGGTTGTTTTTGTTTATGGCTTTGTGAATGCAGTGTGAACGGGGCAGCCTCTCTGTCACAATAGTCTGAATGGGGAGAGCTGCAGCTGAAGGGGTTGGTGACATGGAAGGCCAGGAGGTGGAGCAGTCACGGGAAACTGTGCCCTTTGGTGGCAGCGTAGAAGAAGAAGAAGGGGCGTGTGTGTGGAAAGTAAATAGTCAGTCGTGTGGACAAGAGTGTACAGCATGCTGTAAATTAGCCGCTAGCAGGCGGCTACCCAGCTTGTTAAAATGAATACCATCGTTCTTAAAAGAGGAAGAGCGGTCCCAAAACGGATTAAAATTGTCAATGAAGCTCACGTTGTTGGTCCTGCAGGTGGCCTGGAGCCAAGTGTGAAGGCTGAGGACTCTGCTGAACCGCTGTGATCCACGGCCGAGTGTTGGAGTTGGACCACTGATAAAAGCAGACAGTCCACAGTTGTTTAAAAAGTGTAGAAGATTTTTAAAATCAATCTTGGTCAACTCAGACTGGTGGAGGGCTGTATCATTGATTCCCACATGAACGATAATTCGCCGAATGGAAGACGGGAGGGCGTGCAGCAGGCCAGGCAGTTTCAGCAGGATGTCTTGAGCCGTTGCTCCGGGGAAACAGTGTGTGGCCGCGTTGAAGAAATGGGTATTCCTGATTATGGAGTCCCCGACTATCAGTGTCGTCGGGGCGAAGAGGGGACGAGGCGACAACACTGAGCGTGTAATACGCGTGGATGGAGGCGAGGATTTAACCAGTG